AAAATATTGGGTTTATTATAAGGATTGGAAGCCTTTTCACTCTCTTAAATATCTTTGGTTTGATTGCAACTCATAATACTAATCAACCAATTTGTTCAACATAAGCTGATTGGACTTGAATATGTTAGATTGGGCCATACCAATCCTTTGGCATATTCTATGGGCCAATTTGGAGTCAACACATGCAAATGAGTATATAAGACAAATTAAACCAAGTTTAGACTATTAGGTTGTTGGGTGAATCAGATTAAGATCATGGACCAAAATTATGTTGACTAAAGGTTAATTGAGGTTGGTTGAGATCCAATTTGGCATCCTTGAGATTCATTTGGTCATCTTGATATTTAGGCTTCATTTCGAACTACTTTAATTTTACTGTTTTTTAAAGAAACTTAAATTTTTGTACGACCAAACTATTTTAAGCAACAGTAAGAAAGTCATCCCAGGCTGCTCAAAACAATATCAATTGTTTGGATACACACTTTATGATGCTTACACTAAGCTCAACATCAGACAAATAATTATATTTTTTGCTATATTATTAAAATTTTAAATACTATCTACATATAACTCTATTATATTATTAATATACTTTTCATAATATACAAATAACCAAAAGATTTTATTAATTAAAAATATTTAGTTTTTAACATCCTCAAGAACATTGTTATTTTGAAAAAAAAATTGTTCTCTTAAATCCATTAAAAATATATTAATAAACATTAGAAGAATAGAAAGTTATAAAAAAATTATGGGGTTGTTGCGGTGGAGTATACGCGGCAGTAGAGTAAGAGAATAAAGTGTCTTATTTTTGTACGTATATCTGGCACATATGAGAAAATTCCACTAAGAATGGATGAATTAGAAAACTGGATTTGCTACTTGGAGACGTTGAAATTACAATAGATTGGAGAGTTGGATAGAAGTCTGGTAATGATTGAAAGTTTGGCAATGGTCGATGAAAGGGCAGAAGTCCGATGGTGGTCAACGAACAAGTGAAAGTACAGAGATGGACATGTAGAATTCTAGCGGTGGTCGATGAATGGGTGAAAGTTCGACGATGGTCGACAAACATGTGGAAGTCTGACGGAGGTCGAGAAGAGCTCTAGCGGTGATCGACAAAAGGGCAGAAGTCCGATAGTGGTCGAGAAGAACTTTGACGGCCGTCAGGAAGAACTTCGATGGTGGTCGACAAACAGATGGAAGTTTGACGGTGGTCGGTAAGAACTCCAGTGGTGGTCGACGAACAGGCCTGAAATCCGACGGTGGTCGATGAACAAGTGGAAGTTTGATGGTGGTCGTGAAGAACTCTGGTCATGGTCGACGAACGGGCAAAAGTCCGATGGTGGCCGGTGGCTTAAACTTACAAATTCTTCTCTTCTTTACCCTTCTTTTTCTTCCTCTCCCCATAAGAAGAATGGGGGTTATTTATAGTTTTTAAATAGTGGCATGACTTATAAATATGGGGAGGATCAAGGTCAAGATGGTAGTGGTTTGAATGGACGACCGATACTGATCCCCTTGACCACTATTTATTATTCATTTAAATGTCTTAATGATATCAGAATTTGACGATTTTGGGCTTGTTGGATTCGTTTCGACGAGCCGCTCGATTCGACTATAACCATCTCATGTTTGAAAGTCATTTGGTAATCCAAATTATGCTTTGAACACTTCAAATATGTTTTAGACCCATGATTTGGGCTCATTTGGGCTTGGATTTAATTAATTTTGGTATCGTTGGGTTTGTTTTTTCAAGACATTCAATTCAACTACAGGTTTGCTATAATTCGAATTGGGACGGTCCCCATTTTAATCTTTGAAGCCTCAATCTCAAACTTATATCAAGATTCGTGTTTGATCAAGACTATTTTTGTTGATCATGTGTATTATTTAAAAGGTCAAAGATGTAAAATAAGGTTTCTTTTGGGGCCACTTTTTAACCTTTTTCTTAAACAGCTTTTTCATTAAAAAAAATTAAAATAATTTTTTTTATTAAAAAAACTATTTTAAAAAAACATTAAAAACCCAGCCCTCTCATTTTTTTTCTTCTACAATAAACTTTCAAACTTCCACAGAGTCCTGTGATTCCCCACTTGTCAACGAGCTCTCAAACGCAGGCATTTTTATCATATCTAATTCAATATAAAGTTAACTAATAAGCCACACGCTCACCGTCCTTCCTGCTCGACCAAGGAACAACGGAAAAAGAAAGAAAAAAATAATCGGAATATTTGAAATTGCCTTTTACTTGCAAGATAACTAATTATTTCTAAATTTTTATTTTTAATTATTTCAAGATATTCTAATCGCTCATTGCTTGTTAATAAACAATTTTAAAAGAAAAAATGGTTAAAGAGAATAGATTTCATTACTTATCAAATTAAAATATTTTTTTTTTATTTCACAAAACATTAAAATATCATAAATTTTTAATGAAATTTTGTCAGAATATTTTAATAAGAATGAATTTAAAATTATGCTATTTATTTTGAAATAAATTTATAATTAATTAATTAATATTTATAATATACTTATCTCAAATTAAATTTAAAAAATTCATTAAATTCTTTTAAGAATACTCTCGCAGAAATTTTATTTCTTTTTTTCTCGTTAAAAAATGAAATTAAATTAGTTCATTTTACAGTATATTTCCAGATCAAACCTCAGTTATTGTCGTCTCCCACCGGTGGCAGTCTCCGCCGCGCCAAAGAGCCAATGCCGGCCATTGAAACGGTCCCAAAAATAAAAAAGCACAACTCATTCTCCCTTCTTCTTGCCAACATTACAACAGCTTGTCAAATCTAAATTTAGCTATTTTCTCTTCTTCTTCTTCCTCCTCCTCCTCCTGTCCCCAATACCTTATATTACTTATATAAAGCTAACCATTTTCCAACTCCATCTACCAAACCTCTTCATTTCTCAATCATTCTTACATTCGCCCATCAAACCCCGATTGGTTCGATGGGAAATTGTGCTGGCAAACCGAAGACCGTCGATGGCGTCAAGCCAGAGGCAGCTGATCAGGTCGCCGACGATGCCAAGGCGACCATTTTGAACTCCACCAATGGCGAAACTACCGCCGAGGTATTATTTAGCCGTTGAACATACACCTTAATTTACTATTTTATATTGCCATGTTTCAAAGTTTTTAACTTGGCAGGACAAGAACGACGATGCCAAAGCTAAGAACGAAAATGGTGAGAAAAAAGAGCCGGTTATCGGTCTCTTGGATACCAAAGAGGAGGCTGAAGATATTAAAAAGCCGGCTCTGGTGAACGATGAGCTGAAGACTGAAGCACCTGCGGAGGCAGAGAAGGTTGCAGAGGAGAAGGTGGAGGAGAAGAAGGTGGAGGTTTCCACATGAGATCTGAGGTTCTGATTAGGGTTCTTGAACTGCGTGATCATTGACATATATTTATTGTTGCATAATTAAATCATCTCTTCAGAGAACAGAGTATGTTTTGGTGTTGTGCTCCTTCGATTCATTTCATGATTAATGTTTCAAATAATGATGTAAATTATTCTAAGTGTGTTGAGAGTTTGAGATCTTGTTCGGATATATGTTTCTTTTATGTTTATTTTTTAATATATATGCGTTTATGTTTAACATGTTTGTATCATATAGGCTCCCTTATTAAAGGGATTGTCCAGAGCTACCTAACCTATTTTCATTTAAGTCCTCCCCTTCCCTCAATTTAGAAAATGGGTTATCTCAATCACTCTCTATAAGAGAGATTCATCATAGTTTAGATCTTTTATATTATACTAACTTCTTTTCATATTTTGATGATAGATGACAAATTCCAAGGCTATGGTGTTTGAAAATTATCTTAACTTGATTAAGTTTCGTTATGAATCTTTCTTCGGATTTCCGACAAAAAATTTTTATGTCATGTTCATTTTACTTTACTTTTGATAATATATTGCTCATCTTGAATAGATAATATTTTTTTTTTTTTCACTTTTTGACATTACTCAACAATTCAACAATATTTATAAGAATTGAATCCATGCATGTTGATTAACTAGACATAAAAAAAACTAATCAAAAATATAAGTTCATTAAGAATATAATGGCTTCACCGTAAACATTCAAAATCAGCCAAAACCAAAACCAAAACCGATCGTCGGTTTCACCGAAAACCATTCCGAAATCATTGAAATCACCAAAATTTAAGACCAAAGCAACAGAGGCCAGTTGTGTTGATGCGACAACTATTCAGAATAAAACATGGAAAATTTGAATTTGAGATCGATTTGAATTCGGCACAAATAACATGATAAGGCAAGTTGAAGAGAGGAGGCTTTGGGCCCCTGGAAGCAACGGGCAAAAGAAAAGATGACAAATTTCACAATTAGTACAAAACCATTGACTAATACTTCGTTCCAAAATATTTTTCTTCTACTGTGTCAAAACTAATGTAAAAGTTAAAGCACAAAACATGCGAAGGAAATTCCACGTGATGTGCACCTCCTTCAGAATTTCACAATCATGAATAACAAACTTGTACAAACAAACATTAATAAACAAACTCGGGTGCAAAAAACAAAATGTCACGCAGCTCATCTTGATCAGTTGATTGGAAGCATTAGCTACCAATTAAAAGATTTTGGATTTGAAGTTTGTGTATGTGTTGTGTGTGTGAATTTATCTTAATTGATCTAAATGTCCCCCTGAAAAGAAAAAAAAAGAAAATATGCCACGAATACATAAAACAATATAGAAAACCATTTGAAAGATGCTTAGTTTAAGCTCAAAAACATGACCGGGTTGATGGTTTAAGCCCTTTCATACATTAAGGTCTAGTTTGGGACGGCTTTTTTACTGTTTCTTAAAACAGCTTTTTAGTACAAAAGTTGAGATTTTTGTACTTGAAAGCTGCTTTAAGAAGCAACAAAAAAGCCGTCCCAAACGAAACCTAAATATAAAAAATCTTCATACAAGCAAAATAATGAGATCTGCAAGATCAGAACATTTACCAACTGACCGGGTTTTGTTAAGGAAACTCAAAAAAATATAGTTGCACAAGTGTACTGTGCATCATAATAGAAAGCATAAAATGGAAACAGGACGTATCAAGTTTCTTGAGTTTTCAATTAAGGTTTCATTTGGGATGACTTTCTTACTGTTTCTTAAAGCAATTTTTTAGTACAAAATTTAAAATTTTTATACTGCAAAGCTGCTTTATGAAGCAATAAGAAAGTCATCCCAAACAAAACCAAAGTATTACATAGAAACGGCCAAAAAAATTATTCTGCAGGTTGCAGCCACTAATAATACACCAAGCGTCTGGAAAAAATTTCCCAGGTTTGCAACGGATGGGCGACACTTGATTGAATCAGGCTTTTGTTTTGCTAATACAAAGTAGTTGAGGAAATGTTTTCAATGACTCAAAACCTAAAGCCAACACCTAATTTGCAACAGGTTCGAGAAGTCTCTTGTAATCTCTTCTCAACTTTTCTTTCTTTGATGATTTTGGGGCTTCTGAAGATGGTGTGGCAGAATTATCACCTAGGGCAGGTACAGTCTGTGATTCTTCAGGTAATGTTGAGTAGAGAAACCTTTTAGTTGAACCATGGTGGGTGCAGAAAAGTTTTAGCATCTTTCTTCCCCTCATCCATTTTAGAATAATCTTCATATGAGTTTTACCATTCAGGCCATTGATACCACTTTCCTGGTGGCATTGACATTATACATTTGAAAAGAAACTTAAATTTATTGGGTGTGGCAACTAGCAATATAGACGAGTTTATAGGCTTCTTTTCCAGATCTAACCATAAGAAATATATAAAATGTGAAATTGTACTAATTATACATGAGGAAAAACTTATTCACAGCAATTTTTTTTCTATTTTCATGAAGCAATAAGATAGTCGAATAACAAGTGACTAAATAAAGACACTTCCCAATCAGCAGCATAAATTTCAAATCACAATCCTAAAATTAAAGGTGTTAACTTTCCAGTACCAAGCTTTGAACCGGTGGTCCTTTTTTAGAATATAGCACTCTTGCCAGTAAGGTACATTGAAATTCAGTTTTGGATAGCGGAATGATGATTGTCAAATAAATTGCCAATGTGACTTGCTCTAACCTTATAATGGAAAGTAGGTACAAGCTTCAAAGCAAAGAAATAAACTAGAGTGAAACTCCACATTCCCGTAAGCTAAAGAGTTTGCTAAAAAAAATGCCACGTAAGTACTGTGCATTGTCTATCTATTCAACAAATAACAATGCATTACGGTGTTACACGTCCATAAAGAGACCATAAGTCACTATGGGCTCCGAAAATTCACGCTCCGGCATCTCAGCGGACCCTTTTCTTTCTGCGGGTCGTCAAGAAGAGTTTTAACGGTAAAGTTCGAAGATAAATTTTGAGAAGGCAAATTGGATTGTTAATAAGACACTATCCAGATATTTCACCCTTATTTTGGGAGGACTTTATGATCTGAGTTTAGGTTTCCTATAAGCGTAAGTCCCAATAATTAATTACCCCTCCCCATAACGAGAGAGAACTTTCGATTAAGGCTAATCATCAAATGGATACGCAGAGATACGTAGTATCTGATGTATAGTAGAAGCATTATTTGGCATTTAAACCCATGATCTTTCTACCTTGTTGTCTAATGCAATAAGCACACGCATTATGAAGGGGTTGATTGCCCATTTGTTCTGTTATTGCATTCTTGCATACGACAGAAACTAGAGAAGGAAGGCCTACTCCCACGGACCGGTGACTTGGAGGGGTATTTGATGAATCTAACTTTGCAAGACTAACTAGAATGGAACATATGTCTACAAATTTTTTTATGTGGGGCTAATGTCCATTCAAAGAAATTATTTTCACTTTAAGAATTGTATACTATCCTAATTATGATAGACAACATTTCTATATAAATACCCACGGGATGAATAAACAATGCAAGTTTTCTAGCCACTTCTTTTTTATAAAAAACCCTATACTTTTTTGGATTTCTTATGCTTCCTTTATTGCTCATCATACGACACTAAATTAATTAAATCTTTTAGTAATCAACTTTGCTATAACAACCAAACTTAAATACTTAGAATTTTTTATAGATTTGTACTCTCTAGCATGAATCAATTCATTAAGAGTATAAATCAGACTGAAATCAACCTAATTGGCAGTAGACCAGACTAGAACCAGCCTAATCAAACCCATAATTGGTCAATCGGGTGGGGTTGGCTAAGACAAGTAGGTAAGTTGATCGACAGCTAATCGTAAGTCTCTACAGGTAGCGAGGAAGCGGATAGACTGGCCGGTATGTGATGATCAGTAGAGCGGCTCGGCATAAGAGTAAGCAAGCGAATGGAGATTAACCAAAGAGAGAATGATGCTACAAGTTCAAAATCAAAAGATAGCAGTTAAGATGGATCTATAATGTAGAAATGGGCAGCCAATATGGGCCAACAAGGCATGGATGGGCAACTGAGATTAGTCAGCTAACTAGATACAGGTATCCATAATAGGCAAGGTAGGCCAATGCCATCGAGTCAAGAGTTCCTTACATAGGAGTAGAGGAGTCAGACCAATCTTGTGGAATCCAAAGAATCCTACTAATGGGGTTATGTTTTATACCTATTCATGTGATGAAATCAATACATGCATCTTGTTCAGAGAGAAAATTCATAGTCTGACTTTCAAATAGAGTCAAGTGGATGACTAAATCTAACCATAAAGACCTACTTTTATAATTAGGTTTTCTCTCTTTTGGTTGTGGTCGCCCTTCCTTCCAAACTCTTGAATCAAATTTGTCTCCTAGCAGCAAGTTTGTCCTGATCCAAGTAGTAATAGTAGGAGAATGAAGACTAGAACCATGTGTTATGATCGTTAAGGAAGGAAGCCTCTAGGAAGTAGGAACATGCCACATGAAAAGTGATCATAAGATTATCCCCATGCCAACTTGAGTGAGCCAAATGAATGCCACACCTTCTGATCATAATAATTGATTTTCCCTTCACCAACATTATTATTCGCAAGAGAAGCCGTAGAGTAGAGGCTTTTACTACTAAATTAAGTACATAGGAAATTTGAGGCTACGCATTCAATTCCTTCTATTAGAGTTGAGATGAGGAGCCGACTAGCAAAAGTAAACTTAGAGGAGGAATCTAAGTTTGGCTAAATCAGCTCATTGTATTTACACTGAGATGGAAGCTCTTAACCCAATAAATGATGCATGTTTCGTGTACTGTTTCATAGATTTCCTTTCCCTTTAATTTTTTTCAACATGAAATTTATGGTTATAAAAGAATATATGTATATTTGCAAAGTTCTATTCAACATCTCATATGAATGAATCAATGCTTGTAAAATGAGAAAAAATGTAGAAAGGGTGGTCTGCGTAGAGATATAAAATTATATTGAGATGACTTCTGAGTGGGTCAACAGGTCCGACTAGAGTACTCTTATAGTTGTAGTTGTCATTACTATGAAGACGAAAGACTTCTAATAAGGGGATTGATAGGTTCAGGGCTCAACATGGACATACAGACCTTACCATAGCTCACGAAATATGTAACCCGTCATTGCATAAAGAATGAATGTTCCAAAGATATGAATACATGAGTGAATGATTAAATGCCTTGATCCATGAAATCCTATTAGTACGAAATGAATATATTGTACAATGTTTGTACAGTATTATACATGAAATCTTCCATAATTATCATGTTTGTCATGTATAGCCCATTTGATCATGATAATGCTCCTAAACTTATCAAGCCTACAATGACCATATTGAGCTAATTTCTTATGTGCCACTTTTAATGTGTTAAGAATCCCTCAATTGAGTTATCACATAGTTTAAGAATTCCTCAATTGAGTTATCTCATAGTTGCTATACATATAAAGGATGGGAGTAAGGATTCGAGCTTAGACAAGCCTCAACCAAGTGGATCTAACCAAATTAGGCTACCCAATTGAATCAAGTAGCTTAATGTTTTGGAGTTAGTTATCTCCTGTCATAAGTCTTTTGTGTCATTATAATAGTTTGATATGATGCTTCCATATGAACTTGATTTGGCCTGGTGCTTCATATATAAACAACATTCATGTTAAATTTTAATTTCATTTAATCTTTTTTTTTTTATTCATTACTTCCTAGCTATATTGATTGAATCACTAATTCATCTTCAACAAATGTTGACAAAGGAACTAAAGAAGACTATTTTATTCCCAAGGTATGTTGAATGAAACGAGCTTAATTGCAACCGTCAATAATAATTGAATGATTTACTCCTTGTGCCACCTCATTCCCCTGCCCTAACATTCATGGATTATGGTGAGTTCTTCATGGATTACGAAGAATTATTCAACGTGACATGAATGAAAACCACGTCATTTTACTTGTAGCCCTAGCAGACTAGCGCATCAACCCATAATTCAATTTAAGTGTTAAGCAAGCATATGACATATGTGCATTTCATCTAACACATTACAGTAAACGATACTCATAATCAACTAAGAAAATCTGAAAATAACAAATTAGGTGTTGCCCATTCGAAGATTTAGTTGTTCGATAGAAAATATAGTAAGAATTTTGTGGAATGTATGTAAATTCTCCTTAAAATTAGCATGCTTGATCATCCTCAGAAAATACTCTTGGGGGCAGAAGAAAGATAAAATGCTAAGCATGTCAAAGCAGCCACACATCTCAAATCAGCAACGAATTCCAAATGCAAACAGGAGCGAATATAGAAGGGATTGCATGTGTTAACCTTAACGAGGTTCCAGGTGTTGGGGACGGAGATAGGGCCGTATTTCTTAATAACCTCGTAGAGACTTTCGGAGATCGCCTTGGCCTGCTCCCTTGGAACCTTAGGGTTTATCCTTCGAACATCCTCACTGCGTTTCCTTGAAAAGAAACGCACAAGCATCGAGCCCGTTGCCGCGGCAGCACCGCCACCTCCGCCTCGAAACAGCTTGTTCATCTCTCTTCTTCCCCGCCAGTCGCAGTGGAGAGTCTCAAAACTAAACTCCGCGTCCGACGGAAGATTACAAGCGGGCAAGACCCAGAAGGCCCGGAACCAGCATACTGCATACCCGTGCTTATTTTCAATTGACCCTGTAAAATAAGGTGAATTATTCTGCGGGGATCCGAAAATCGTCGAAAAAGATCAATTAAAATGCGTCAATTCTTTACTCAGAATTCAGCTTAGTACGAACAATTATTAGTTCCGGACACCTGATATAGCTCTACATCCGGACGTCAATAACATGTCACCACGTGCTCTTACTCTTTACCGTGCGGACGATCCGACCCAGACTAGAACCCGGTATTGCTATGTTCGGGTATTGCTAGGTATTGCTTGACAATAACAAAAAATACCGCTCTTTCAAGACCAATACCTAGCAATACCTAGCAAAACCGGGGTATTGCTCGGTATTGCTAGATATTGGTCTTGACAGAATGGTACTTCTCGTTATTGTCGAGCAATTTCGAGCAATACCTAGCAATACCCCGGTCTGCATAAATTAGCCAATACATAGCAATCCCAAGTCTGGTCTGGGTCGGGTCGTCGGGCCGCGCAATAAAGAGTAAGAGCACGTGGTGACATTTTATTGGCGTCCGGATGTAGAGCTATGTCAGGTGTCCGGACCTAATAAAAATTCCTTGGTACAGGAGCTCCGTACAGCTCGATACCGCTAATGTGGCGCATTCTGATTTGTCTCTAAATGATAAATTGTGCTCGGCTTCTGCACATAATAATCTCTTGAAAAATGAGGGGAATTATGCAGCATAAAATTAATTTCAGCTTTACTGAAAGTAGATTTTAGATTTCTTGATATTGGCCTTAAGGTTAGCTGAAATCAAGCTCTAGATTTGAAAATTTTATTTCTCATATTTTCTTAAATTACATTTTATTTTAATGAAAATCTCATTACAATTTTAATAAAATTAGTTTACAGATTCACTGAAATTTATTTGCATAATTTTTCAAAAATTATTAGTACAATTTATTTAGAAAGTGTCAAGTTATATTTCACCATTTATCATTTTTGAAAGTGCTAAAATTGTTGTTTCATCATGTGGAATCAAATGTTTTAAAAATTAGTTTTACAATATTTGTTGATTTTGCACATTTGAAAATCATAGTTGGAAATTATTAAAATTATTTTATAGGAAAAAATAGTTTTTGTAACATATTTAAAAATAAAGCCGCTTCTAGTAAAAATTATGAAAAGATGTTTTTTAAAGCCGCTTTCTAGTAAAATTTTTTAATTTTTGTACTAAAAATATGTTTTAAAATAGCAGTAAGAAACCCATCTCAAATGAAACCATACTTACCACATGATGGAAGACGCTCATCGTGTGATGACTCGATCTCTTTTTTCTTGCTAGCAATTGAGGGGCTTTCAAGGGAGCTATTTAGGGTTTGTTTGGGACTACTTCCTTATTGTTTCTTAAAACAACTTTTTAATATAAAAATTAATCTTTTTTTATTAGAAAACTGCTTTAAGAAGCAGTAAGAAAGCCGTCCCAAATGAAGTCTTAGGGTTTATTTAGGACGGCTTTTTTATTATTTAAATCAACTTTCTAAATTTTTGTACTAAAAAACTGCTTTGTGAAGTAGTAAGAAAGCCGTACTAAACGAAGCATTAGGGCTCGTTTGGGACGGCGGCACTCTTGCTTTACTTTATAAAAAGTTATGAAATTGTTGTTTGGGGGCATCGCGGCAGAACGGCGGCAGAAAAATTTCGCGGCGTGCAATTGCTTCCCGCGACCTTACACTCTCTCCCGCGGTCCGTTGCAGTCCGCTGCTTTCCCGAAAAAAATGACGAAAATCCCCTTCCAATCCCTTTCAAATGGAGGAACTGATCTCCCCTTCGTCGTTGCCGGCCGCATAAGGTTTCAGCGAGGGCTTGATCCCGAGGTTCTCGAGAACTTCCCGACAAGCCGTCCCAAACGAAGCCTTAATTATCCATTTTTTTATAAAAAATGGAACTTCACAATCCATTTTCTACTTTGACCGGAAACCGGATTTTACTTCTCTGGTTTCTGTAAATTCTTAAATTTTTCATTCACTTCTCTGGTTTATTTAATTTTTTTTATTTTCTTTTATTTTGTGATTTGAAAAGAAAACAGAATATGAAAAACCAGTTTCTTAAGAAACCAAATTAAGAAATTCCAGTTTCTTAAGTAACCGAATTTTCATATTCCGGTTTCTTAAGAAACCAAAATAAATTTTTTTTATTAACTAGCATTTCTGAATGGTTAGCAGTTCAGCCTCTTTGATTAAAAATTAAGAATTAAAAATTAATGAATAAAATTTGGTTCTTTCTAGCTCCGCTACTGCGTGTTCAGCTTCCAGTTGGTGAAATGTGGTCTTAATCGGGCATGACAATCCAAATGAGAATCATCAAAGACTCATAGGCAACTATTTTAATGTATTCTAACATTAAAGATGTCACAATAAATAAAATTATTTTAATTTAAACCCCCCTGAATTAAATTTCTAGCTCCATCACTTCCCAAATGGATTTTCATATTTTAACCTATTTAAAACAAATGCTTAAAATCATTTTCTCTTATTTTTTCGCACAGTATTTTTTTTTTATTTGGAAGCAGTGTGCTTATTTAGTACTAGGGGTGTCAATTCAGGTCAACAGGTTGGGTTCGGGTTGAACCCGGAACTGACTCGGGACTATTCGGGTCAACCCGAACCCGACCCGTTTTTAAAAACGGGTCAGGTTTCTGGACCCGAACCCGACCCGATTTGATTCCGGGTCAACCTGACCCAACACGAATGACCCGGGGTTGACCCAAAATTGCTAGTTTTCTGGTCAATCTCGGGTTTTCGGGTCAAAAAGGGTCAATCTCGGGTTTTCGGATCAAAATGAGTTTTTGTGTCACTTTCGGGTCAATTTCGGGTTGCTTTATCAACCCGAACCCGACCCAATTTTTAAAACAGGTTGATTTGTTGAACCCGAACCCGACCCGTTTCGGATTCGGGTTGACCCGAACCCGGATTTTTCAGGGTCGGTTTCGGGTCGTGTCAAAAATTGACACCCCTATTTAGTTCTCATAAGTTCTTAAGTTGTCACAAAATATTTACTTGTTCGATCACACGTTTCTTCAATTACATTTTTGAGATTATTGAGAAGTTTTAGGTTAAATATCCTGCAGAATTTATGCAGTACTATTGAAAATTTGTTCTTAAAATCTAATGAAATTCATATTAAGATGATCAACGGTGTAGCTTATTTGAGGCTGAGATACAACTGAGTTAACTATTTTTTATGAACTCAGTGCCTAAATATATTGGTGACAGGAGCCGTCCAATTGATGTCCCACGACAAAAGCGCTTGCTGAGCTTAATAATATTACACTTAGCTTCTCTATTAATGATGATTTCGTTGTAATATAATTTTACTTAGTAAAGTCTATATAATTGATATATCGCTAAAAATTGTTTTGATCGGGCATAAATCTTGAGGCATATTTAAACTAGTAACTTTCTATATTAAATGAGGGGCTAGCTGAACTCTGATTTTAGAAAACTTATTGTCTGCAAAACAAACCCAATGACATTAAAATTGATACAATTTTAGCCTTAATGGGGCCTCTAACAAAATGCTTGAAGAATAAAACCTTTCAGTGGACTGATTCACAACAACGTGGCTTCGACACGATCAAAACAACTCTTAATTTTGCTCCTGCTTTAGCCCTACTGAACATCAAGAAGCCATTTCGTGTAGAAATAGTTGCTTCAATGACCGGCATTCGTGCTATGTCATCATGACACGAAAGACCTGCTGAGTTTTTTTAGTGAAAAACTAAGCTCAGCTCATCAAAAGTGGATTGTTTATGAACAAGAATTATATGTTGTGGTTCGTGCCCTCAAGCAATGTGAGCGTTATCTCTTACATTAAAATTTCATGCTTAGCAGTGACAACTAGGCCTTGAAGTTTATCAATAGTCAAAAGACTATCAACCAGATGCATGCTAGTTGGATCTTGTTCTTACAAAAGTTTACTTTCGTGCTCAAGCACAAATCTGACAAATAAAATCAAGTGGTCGATGTGCTTAGTCATCGTTCCGCCCTCATATAGCTACAAACTGAATTAACCGATCTCATTTGTTTGAAAGAATTGTATGCCAAAGATAAAAATTTTGGTAAGATATTGGCAGCTTGTACCAACAACACTTCATATACAGCATTTTGAATTCGTCGTGGCTTTCTCTTCAAGCATAATCTGTTATGGATTCCCGAGTAGTCTTGGCGGCAACACCTCATCAGGGAACTCCATAGAGGTAGCTTGGCAGTGCATCTTGGTAAGGAGAAAACCATTTCTCAAATGCAGACACGTTTCTTGTGGTCGCACCTATGCAAAGACGTGATTCAATACATAGAGCACTGTGTAATATGCCAAAAGTATAAGGGCGGGGGACAGAACACTGACTTATACACTCCCCTTCATGTTCTCAATTCCATATATATGAGAGGATTTGAAAAAGGGGATCAGATTCTATCATGGTCATTGTTGATAAATTTTCAAAAAATGCGCACTTTTATTGAGTGCAAAAAGACTTTTGATGTACTCAACATTGCTCGCTTATTTTTTCATCATATTGTACGTTTACATGACATTCCCCGCAACTTGACTTCGGATCATGATATCAAATTCATGAGTCATTTTTGAAGAGAATTATAAAAATATATACAAAATGAACTCAACTTAAGCTCTGCCTATCATCCACAATCGGATGGACAAATCGAAGTGGTCAACATAACTCTTGGAAATATGTTGCGTAACTTGCTACAAGAACTCCTGAAGCAATGGGGATACATATTAGGCCGAGTTGAATTCGCATATAATTTTATGCCCAACAGGTCAACGGGCCTCTGTCCATTCAGCCACGAATGTTTCGGCACAAACAATAATAAAAATTTAAACAGTAAACAAACAAATAAATAAAACTATCCACTTAGACTTTGGCTTATCCACATGGCAGGCAAGTCAGCAGCATCCAGAAAAACTTATATATATATTCCAATTTTTCAATAATTAAATTTATATATAATATATTTTATTTTTTCTCCTCAGAATAAAGAACACGAGTAAGCCAGCTAGTTCTTATTTTCTATCAGGCCCTCTAAAATATTAGGAATTGCAAATCAAGGGCAACATGTGGCACAACATCGATCGTAATGGATTGATTTTTTAGATTTTGTTTGGAATATATTTTTTTATTGTTTTCTAAAATAATTTTTTTAATAAAATTATTTATTAAAAGTCAAAAAAATAGTGCATAAAACAGTCCCAAATCACATGTTTTGACTTTTGAGTAGGAATTAAATTAATTCAAAATGGAATTGTTCTCACCACTAAAAAAAAAATTAGAAGAAAACACAGATTTTCACGACTTCTTCCAAGTTGAAGATTCGTGAAAATTGAAATATTTAAAGAAACATAATCATGATTGCAAAAATAATTTAAGTTAATTGGTAGAATTGTTCCCCTAAAACAAATATAATTTAAAATAACAAACAATTAATATTTTAAAATATCAATTACAAGTCAAGATAGGAATTTGAATTTCTCTTTTGGTGATCAATCTTATGAAAATAAAAGAAAATCTTTTACATATAAATCAATGAGACAGACAAATTTGAAATTTTATCCATTTCAGTAAGATGATAAAAGTGGATGATCATAATCTTATCATATATAATTTATTACTATAGATTTTGTTGTTATATTTGGAAATCTTATGTAGGTTTTGGTAAAGACAAAGTAGTAATATGAATTGTGAGTAATTTGAGAAAATAAATGAGCTGTGAAATGTTTAATAGGTCCATCTACATTCAATCACTCATAAAAGAGAAGTTCATCTGCCCTCTAGTATGACATGCTTATACTCGACGAGACGATTCCAATGAGCCCAAGATCATTTAATTCCTACATCATTAAGACACTTAAAGGCTTGATCAACGGTGTATGATCAAGGGGTCAATATTAGCCATTCTTTCTAACACTCCTAACTTGACCTTGATCTCCTCAATATTTACAAACCATGTCACTTTTAAAAAATTATAAATAGTTATATATTCTTCACATAAAGAAGATGAAGAAAACCATAGGAAAGAAATGAGGAAAAAGAAGAAAACTGGGAGAGCTCAAACTTGTTTTATCCTCGCCCCCACTTTCTTTTGTTGCATTTTATGGTCCCACAATGTGTTCCCCGAGCTCCATGGCCCGAACTCCTCATTCTTAAATATAGCTAGTATGGTCATTGCTTTTTCCTACGAGTTCCTTGGTTTGCCATGATATTGTGATACTTTTCTAAGTGAGCTTTGTCATGTGGGATGCCTTCCCCAACAATTTGTCCATGACATGTTAGTTTGAACAATGTCGAGCAATGGTTCAAACCAAGTTCGAAACAAATTCAATCAAAGATTCAAATCAATTTGAATCAATTTCCTTCTTGGCATATTATAATCTCTAATTATATATGCTTTGAAGTATATAAAGTCAAAGTTTTCAATTATAATTGAGCTGACTCTCATTAATCTTACATAAAAGCATTACTTCCCATAAAACTTGAATAGATAATATTATATAGTCTTTTTTTGGAAAGCATCTCAAAATAGACGCACTTAAGGACCCGCTAAACTACTTAGGGCCATGTTTGGTTTGATGGGACAATTTTTTTTATTACTTTTAAAACAAATTTTTAATAAAAAATCAAAAAATTTTACTAAAAAACTGATTTTAAAAATAGTAAAAAAAAAAAAAACCATCCAAACCAAGCTTTAAACGACACTCTTCACGGTTCGACCATATCTGATAATCGAAGACGGTTCGACTAATTATTAGGTCCGGACATCGGACGTAGCTCTACATCCGGAGGCCAATAACATGTCGCCACGTGCTCTTACTCTTTACCGCGCGGCCCGACGACCCGACCCGGACCAGAACCCGTTATTGCTATGTTCGAATATTGCTAGGTATTGCTTGACAATAACGAGAAATACCGCTCTGTCAAGACCAATACCTAGCAATACCGAGTAATACTGAGCAATACCTAGCAATACCGAGCAATACCTAGCAAAACTGAGGTATTGCTCGGCTCGGTTTTGTTAGGTATTGATCTTGACAGAATGATATTTCTCGTTATTGCCGATCAATATTGAGCAATATCTAGCAATACCCCGGTCTGCACAAATCAGCCAATACATAGCAATCCCTGGTCCGGTCCGGGTTGGGTCGTCGAGCCGCGCGGTAAATAGTAAGAGTACGTGACAGCATTTTACTGGCATCCGAACGTAGAGCTGCGTCAAGTTACCGGACCTAATAAAATTCCCATCTAATGATATCATGAACTTCAAAACTTTCAGAATCTATTAAAACTGCAAGCCGCAAAATTTAAAAACAGGATTTGTTTTTATTTATTTTGAAAAATAGTATTTGATAAAAATAATTTTAAGAATAGATCAAATCGTAATACTTTTAAGTAGTGACATGCTATGCACACAACTTATTTTAGCCTATTGGTTGAGAGCTTAGACTTCCAACTAAGAGGTCTTGAATTCGAGTCTTTGTGTATGTGTTGTGTGCGTGAGTTTGCCTTAAATGACCTAAATGTCACAAAAAGAAAAAAAACATGCTCTGCATGGCAACGTTAGTCATGACCTTAATTTTCATAAATTTATTTATTTTTACTTTATGTTAAAAAAGAATTAAAAATTAAAAAAAAAATATTATGAGAATTTTCTGATTTATTTTGCATCATGATGAGCCAATTTTAATGGCACACGTAACAATGTTATCCCTCAATTATTAAGTTTTTATATAAATATATCTAAATTATTAAAATTTTATAATTTTTTTCTATTATAATTATATTTGTAAATATTTATTAATTTACTTCTATTTATCTTATAGTTTAGTTATATTTATTTAATAGTTTAGCTATATTCTTTAAAAGTTTAATTACATTAACGAATAATATACGATGTGCAAAAATCAATGATATGTTCTGCTTTGATATAAAATAAACTGGAAAATTTTAATGCAAATTACACCAGAATATTCTAATATATTTGTTTCGTCCTGGAAAATTTGCGGCGGTAGAGAAAAATAAAGTTTAACATGTTTTAGCTTTGTACGAAGATACATCACGTAATGAAATAAAAGAGAGGGTGTAGCATTCATAAGAGTCACCAAGATTTTTACGTGAAAAATCATTAAAAGAGAAAAAATCATAGGGTTTGACCTAATTTGAATGAATCCACTAGTATTTGCACTCTATTACAATTGAGGTCATTCCTTGGGTGAAGGCATGCATTGGCTTGATGTGATAAATATACATCATATATAGTGCATTACATGATGGGAAATAGAAGAATCACTATTTACATGTTTCTTTGGTCGGTATGATCATAGTCGGCGGGCAACGGAGGTCGAAAACACTGTAGTTTGGTGACGGTGGTCGGAGGGACCGTAGTTAGAAGACAACAATGGTCAAAAGGATCATTGTCTAGCGATGGAAATCAGAAGAACCGTAATCCATCGGCTGGCAATAGTTCTCAGAATGTCCGTTGTATGGCAATGAAGGTCGAAAGAACCATTATCAACAAGTGACAGTGGACAGAAAGACCGTTGTCTGGCAATAGAGATTAGAAGGAGGGTAATCTGACGATGGAGGTTGAAATGACCTTAGTCGATTGACGATAGTGATCCTAAAGACCGTAGTCTGGTGGCAAAGGTTGGAACGATTGTAGTCGACTTACAATGAATGTTGGAAGTCTGACGATGGACAGAAGTCTGCCATCTGGCAGAAGTCCGACTATTGATGGAAGTTTCACGATGGACGAAAGTTTCGCGATAGATAAAAGTCCAGTATCGGATAGAAGTCTGATGGAAGTTTGGCAACAGGCAGAAGTACGGTGACAGGAGGAAGTACAATGATAAACAGACGTCTGGTGTCGGGTAGAAGTCCGATGAAAGTCCGACGACAAACAAAAGTCCAGCTACAAGCTGAAGTCTGGCAAGGGACGGAAGTTTGGTGTCGGGCAGAAGTTCGATAAAAATCCGACGACCGACGGAAGTTCGACGTAGGGTAAGAGAAATATATTTCTCTTTCTCTCCTCTCTTCTTTCCCTTCTTGTTTCCTTGCTTGGCCCCCCTTTGCTTCCTCCTCCCTCAATGAAGAATGAGGGGTTTATTTATAATTTTTTGAAAGTGGCATGACCAATGAATATATAGGGAAGATCATGGGCAATTAAGTTTGAAGTATTTTGAATGGACGACAGATGTTGATCCCCTTGATCGTGGACCATTTATTGAGAATTTGAATGTCTTAATGATATTATAATTCAGTGATCTTGGGCTCGTTAGTTTTGTCTCATCGAGCTGCTTTATTCGACTATAAGCATGTTACGTTTGGTAATCCTAATTATGGTTTGAACATTTCAAAACATGTTTCGAGTCCTTGATTTGGACCCAAAATATCATAAGAAACTAAATATAAATTTAATCTCAAATAACTTATTGAATTTTTAAAATATTTCAATAAAGCCAAGAAAATAAATTTATTTATAAAAACTAATACCATGTCGCCATGTGTGCCCAGGTGGCCAGTTGAAGATCTCCTTCTTTTAATCCTATTTTTTAAAATATATAAAATTCTAGTACTATTTTAAACTTTGCCGCCAAATGTCCTACGACTCCGGCTCCGGCTCCGGCTGCAGTTCCTTTCCTTCCGAACCCTTGCCTCTCGCCGCCGATTCGTCATCATTAACAGCCATCATCACCAACAACGCAAGCAAGGGATAGCTTACAGTCGTAAGCACCCAATTCACGATCAACTGCCACACCAGCGGCGTTTTGTGCTCGTCTACTTGCCAAGCAACCGCTGCACCCGCACTCTGCACTCCCTTGTAGAATCCACTATACCTGTTTCAAACAAATCCATCCAATAATCATCAGTGGACAAAGATTTCAATGGTGGAGAACAGATTAAGAGATTATCGAAACCTGCTGAGTGTCTCTGAATCGTCCGCAAGTGCTCCGATCACCCAATAGCATAAGCTCTGGAACATGGCATCCAGCAAGCCATAGCTGAAATAGAGAACAAAGGGGCCGGCATAACTCGAACCTGAATCCTTGAAATCCAGCTTGTTCGGCCACTTGCCGTCACTGTAACGGAGCTGGTTTGCAAGACCTCCCGCCCAAATAGCTGTCCCGAGCACGGTGAGGACGGAAATCCCAATCAAACCTCTCTTCCTCCGGCTTCTGAAACTGAAATCGAGAAGATATCCGATTGCCAAGGAGCCGATCATTTGGGCGCCCCAATAGAAAACATTGTTGAGCCCCTTGGTCCGGAGGTTGAATAAGATGCCATTGACGTTGTTGAATTGATAGGAATAGAAGAAATTGCTACGCCAAGCGGCGGGGATTATGAGGAGCATTTTCCAATTGGAGAATAGTTTGAGGATTTCGATCCCTTCAGCGGAGACGCTGGAGTAGGTGACTGCAGTGGCACGGGATCCATCTTCGCGGACGATTCGCGAAGGAGGCAGAATGGCGAGGGAGAGTACCGTGCCAGCAGACATGAAACACATGAAGGCGATGTAAGTTCCGTCGTTGACTGAAGCTGCCAGGGTTCGGTGGTAATTGAGGATAAAAGGGATAAGCCCGCCAATGACGCCACCGAGGTTGAAGATGCTCCAGAAGATTGATATGTAGGTGCCCTTGTGGGTCACTGGGGGATAGGAGGTCATGATTGCGCCTTGGCCGGCCCAAAGGAGTCCGGCGCCCATCCCAAGGATGGCGCCGGCGACGATGACGAAGGCCTGTTGGGAGTGGTGATTGTAGTAGAGGAAGGAGCCGGCGTACAGGATGTAGGTGGAGCAACCGGCGAGGAGGGTGAGCCGAGGACCGAGAACGTTGTAGAAGCCACCGCCGAGGAGGCCGAAGACGGCGAAGGTGGTGTAGAGGGCGGTGTTGGCGTTGTTGGCGGCGCTGTGTTCTACCTGACCACCGCCGCCCATGCCGGATAGTGCGTTGAACATGCCGGGGCAGCAAAAGCAGACGAGGCCGATGAGGCAGACTTGGACTAAGGGGGAGTTGAAGCGGAAGCGAGAAGGAGGAGGGGTTTTCGGCGCACCGCCGGGGACTGCAAGGTTCTCGATGGCTTCCACTGACCCGAAGGCCATTGGAATCAGAGTTTTGAATGGACAGATGGATGAGGGTTTGAGGATTGAGGTTTTGCTTTCAAGGTGCAAAACTTTCTGAGCTGACTCTCTTTTTCTGGAGAAAGAAAAAAAAAATGAAAACGTGTCTATTTATAACCTTGCCGGTAACCTTGCCGGCGCCGTAGCGGCGGTCTTCCCGTCCTTGGCTAGCCGTTCAGAATGGTGATTCATTGATTTTTCCGACATTGTGAAAATTAAATGGGACAAAGGAGAGGTTGACGGTTGAATAATTCAATTCACGGCAGGGCGGATCCAATCTTATTTTTGAAGACTTATTATATAAAAAATTAAATACAAAAAACTTAAAATATATATAAACTAAAATTCTAAAAAAATGATAACAACAAAATATAGTCGAAATTTTAAAAATTTAGTAAGATGGGCATATGTATTCAGATTATCAAACCTATCATGCAGATCACAAGCTATTTGTGATTTCTTCTGACATTGATGTGCAACACTGTTATTACCGAATCAATATTTAAAAACATGAAAGAAACATTGTATGTGTCCAACTCCTAATTATATATATCCATTGAGGAGCTCTCTTGTGGGGCAAATTATTGGGTCAGGTGACCATAGGCGAAAAATAAATTCGGACATCAAATAAAAATTTGCCGCGTCATCTTGCACTTTTGACTGCGCTTTTGACTTGCGCTTTAGTTGCGCTTTACTCGCGCTTTATCTGCGCTTTACCTACGCTTTACTTGCGCTTTTTGACTTCTGCTTTAGTTGCGCTTTACTTGCGTTTTACCTGCGCTTTATTTGTGTTTTACTTGCGCTTTACTTACGCTAAATTTAAAATAATATTTTATTAATATCCGGATCTATCTCTACGTTCGGTCACCTGACCCAATAATTTGCCTACATTCCTTTCTAATAAAATAGCACAAAATGAGTAGTAGAAAGGAATGTAGTAAAGGAATTATTATTATTATTATATACTTTCATTTCAACAATTGTCCTAGATTCCTTTCTACCACTCATTTTGTGCTATAATAATAATAATGCTAAGCCGATTGACCCTTTGTGAAAACCAGGCCATGCATAGTAGCGGGATTTAAACATATCAATTTACTTAAATAAATATTTATATTGCATGAACTTTTATGTAAAATATTTTTAGGAGTATAATATTTCTCAAACATAAAAGATCCGATAAAGTTTGAAATAATTAAAGCATACGTTAACGACATGATTTGAACAAGTACAGCAGCTGATGAGCACACTAATCTCTTTTAACATACTTAGAGTAAACATTAAACCACCTGATAATCTTTCTGATTACTTTCCTAATCAGAAACCATATTAAATTTTAGATGGCACAAATTGACAAACTGTTTTCAGAAATGCTCAATGAGAGTTTTAAATTCCGTTCAATTTTCCTCTGCGTCGGTCGGCAGGGCCGGCTGTGCAGACCACACGGAGGCAGAGACAAGGCGGCGAGATTTCCAACCCACTACGAGCTTATTCGGTGCTTACTCCTCGACTCGATAACCCTCATTGAATAAACCAAGAAGGAGCTTCGCCAGACCCGAATTTGACTTAGGTTCAAACGGGTCGATCCTAATCAAACCCGGGCAGAAAAATGGGTAGGAAATCCGAACCCGGACCCGACCTGGTGGGTTGCCGGGTCGGGTCAGTGATGTAGTGGATCGGCGGAAGTCGATACCTGCAAGAAGGATTTGAAAATTCCCAATCCAGGGAAGAAGAAGAAAGCTTTTCAAGCTTCAAAAGGTGTATATATCATTCAATGCCCCTTTTCTTCTTACATCATAATATATATATAATACTTTAGGTAGGAAACTAGAGAAAACTAGAAGGTTCTTTGTAAGATATCCTAAGGATCATTTTAGGCTAAAGTGATCCGCATCATTCTCCCCTTGCATAAAAAAGCTCGACTCCGTTCGAGGCTCGTTACTTAGAAGGGAGGTAAGGTGGAAAATAATTCCTGGATCGAAAACTTGGAATGAAGACTTTAAAATCACCACATGAAGAGGCTTCCCCCAATCCAAGTGATGAACCTTGTGCTCATTTTCATCAAATGAAGAAAGATCTCCAATTCTCTCTGCACGACCAAGCAAGCCAACCATGCAGGCGTAGTGATCATTAGATGGATCAGGGCTGTGATCAGTAAACATCAATGAAAAAAACTCAACGCCCTTCTTCAAGCATTCCTGAATTGTACTCTGACAATAACCATTGATCAAGGAGTTCAAAGAGACCAAATCAGGAGCAGATGAACTATCATAAACCATTCTGGCCATCCCGACATGGCCGCACTTGCCGTAGGTGTCCATAAGAGCAGAAATCACAAATCTGTTTGTGTCCAGACCACTCTTTAGAGCATATGCGTGGATTAGCATCGCTAGTTCAGACAATGCAAGGGATGAGTAGACACTGAGAGTAGTTGATAAAGTGAAAGCATTAGGTGGTGCCTCATAATTGAGAATCATGCTCCGAAACATCGAAAGAGCCTCCTCTTCTCTGTGATTATGCAACAAGCAACCAATGATTGCAACCCAAGCCACAGTGTTTGGATTCACAATCCCATTAAAAACCTTCAAGGAATCTTCAATTAAGCCACACTTAGAGTTCATACTAACAATACTAAGAGGAGAGGTTTGTGGAGCAATCCAAGAACCAAATCCAGATTTAAGGATGGCACCATGAATCACTCTTCCAGAGGTCAAGTCATTCAAACTCCCACATGCTATTAGAACACTAGCAAACGTGAAGTCATTTGCTTGAATGTAACTGCTCAACATTTCTCCAAATACTTCTATAGCTTGTCTATCTTTGCCATTCTTCGTGTAACCTACTATCAAAGCTGTTGACAAGACAACGTCTTTGGCCTTCACATTTTCCTTGCTCCCGTAAGCAGAGCCTGACAGCTCAAATTTGAGATCCCAGCCTTTATTGACATTTCGTCGAGCATCTTGTGAGCGTTGGATTGAATAAGCATTGTCAGTGTATTGCATCTCAGCCATTTGCACACCTGCAATAAAAATGTTCTCAGTATCAATGTTGTACAAGGTCGTCTCTTCGCACTCGTCAATCTCCATGGCGGTCAGTTGGAACGGGGTCCTCAAGGTAAGGATGCCCTCAAGAGCTTTGCACTGCTCTGATGTCAATGAATTTGGGAGATCTACAGTGAAGTGGATGTAGAGTTTGCCTCGCATAAATGACTTCTGGTACATTGGCATTCCCTCGTCATTGATCGCCTTGAATTGATCAGGCTTCACAAATTCTCCGGGATTTGATTTAATATGCAACTGTTCTGTGACAGCTTTTACATGTAGTTCAATCAGCTCCAATGACTTGAATCCTTTCCTAAGGAAGTTCAACTGTGCACAATGGTGACGAGCAGTCTAAGTGAGAAGACTTCGTGATTGACCCTGGAAGGAGACGGAAAGGCTCCGGGTGGTTATGCAGAGAGCCCTCTCAGCTTTCGATCCCTCTGTTGTCAAGGCGCCATGGGGATCTGGTCGGGGAGAAGAGGGGCGGGTCCGATCCACGGACTGAGACCTCATAGAGGCCACGCCTTGTGAAAATGTCGATGCCGTTGATGGCCGATGGTTGGGGAGAGGCGAAGGAAATAGCCGGGAACAAAAGCTGGAAGCGATCCACCTGGTGCGCGGCCGCCGAGATAAGTCCGCATTGTCCCTCTCGGAGGGGGTTAAGGGTCGTCGTGATGAAATTGCCGGAGGATCGATGATGTAGTTGGAATCGACGTCGAATTGTGGTTCCGCTCGGTCCACGAGTATGAGAGCATCATTGAGCTGGATTGAGGAAAAGCAGAGGGAAAGCTCTGTCTGTGCGGCCAGCAATGACGCAGGTTCGTTTTCTCCATTGACATCTGAAGAGCCCTTCGATGTTGAATCGGAATGAAGGACGACGTCGGTCACCAGCGTCTGAAGCGGATGCTTTGTATGCGGATGCTTTGTATGAGCGGATAGCACCGGAGGAGCGGTAACGGCGGAATCGTGAATGTCCTCAGGCGGAGTTGGGAGTTCTGGCATACTGAAGATTTGTTCGATCGAGCAATCAACGACGTGCGCGGGCTTCATCCGGGAAGGGAATGTCTCCGACACTGCCTGTGTGTTGGTGGAGCAGATGAGCGACGGGGACGGTATGGTTGCCGGCCTGCTCATGATTTTCTCCACCGATTGCATGATATTAACACATAAAGCATCTATTCGATCGATTGATGCTTCCACTTGAGCCAACCGAAGGGTTTCCCGGCGTTGCTCACGATCGGCTTCCCTTCTTCTTCGATGGCTGTTGAAATCTGGAATGAGGGGGTCGGGGTTGCGAACTAAATGGTCCGACAATGGATTCCGCCATTTGAGCGGAAGTTCTAGGGGAGGGTATTTCGGCGGCAGATCACGCCATTGGAGTGGAAGCTCGAGAGGCGGATAGTCATCGATCTCTCGTCTTCTTCGGCGCCGATCATCGTTGAACGCCCATCTCCTTCGGTGGCGATCCTCGTCGACCGCCCATCTTATTCGGCGTCGATCTTCGTCGACCGCCCTTGTTCTACGGCTTCGAACGTCGTCGACAGCCGACCTTCTGCAATACATCGATCTTCGCAAGCTCCAGGCTCTGATACCAACTGATGTAGTGGATCGGCGGAAGTCGATACCTGCAAGAAGGATTTGAAAATTCCCAATCCAGGGAAGAAGAAGAAGAAGAAAGCTTTTCAAGCTTCAAAAGGTGTATATATCATTCAATGCCCCTTTTCTTCTTACATCATAATATATATATAATACTTTAGGTGCAAGTCTCCGGGCAGTCATTTCAAACAGGTTTCGGGTTGAACCGACAACCCGTCCGATCAACCTGAACTCGACTCATTTTTCAAACGGATTGAATCCGGGAAC